ATCATGAACATATAGAGAAGGGTAAGCGGAGACGCAAGAACAAGGCCAGTGGATCTGGATGCTCGGAAAACGGGCGGTGACGTTGCATTGAAGATGGTGGCGGGGGCGGAGAGGAAGCGGTGGTGATATTGAGGTTGGTTGATGATAGTCCCTGTTTCTATAACAGCAATGAATAGCAGTATAACAAAGAAGATTAACAGTAAAGATGAACACAGATGAATCGATGTAAACCCTCCTTGATATACCGTGAACTCGTACACAGAAGTATTTGCGCTAAGGCTGTTATGAGCGAGTACAAAAGTTAACCTAGACCTGAATCCTCGGCTCCCTTTTATAGGCGAGGTTCAGGTAAGCGTGTAAGGCTTTTAGCCTTTTGTATGGGCCTAACACTTGGCCCATATTCAATCTAATACATACATATATTTAATACAAGGAATAATAATAAAGCTAATCTATTACAAGATAGGTGACAAACTTGATTCACAATTAAATGATCTTCAACAGTTGAGAGAGTGAAAGAGCCACAAGGGCTCTTGCTCCTTCAGCGCCATTTGCCTCATCAGCTCCTCGTTGGCTGACAACGCCACACGCGTGATCCCATCTTTGTCTGCACCAATTGACACTGCCATCAGAAGAGACCGGCAGCTCATCCCGCTGCATCCTTCTTCTTTCATGAGTCTTCTCCTTTCATCGATCCATCAATTACCCTACGTACGTGCTACAGGATATTTCTTGACGGGAAGGATGACAGACGTTTTGTTTTAAAGGTAAACAACGGACGGATAGTGTAATTATTTAAGCATTCGGTATATCTCTGTAAAGCTTTTATGTACCACCAACAAATTTTTAATACCCGAAATATCCTTACCTTGATTCATGCTTATAATTTTGTAGAGTAGAGATACAATTGGATTATCCAATGACAAAGTTAGGATGTTATTAATAGGAACCAAAAAATGTTCTTGCCCAAAGGGCGTCCATGGCGGAACCCTAGGAGGCAACCGATCGATCTTCTTCGTTAAGGGTGGTGGCTGCCTTTAAGCTTTCTCACCGGGATATCAAACTGAACTCTACTAGGGATGGTACAGGACGAGGTGCAACGATTGAGCGAACTAAAGAGCAGAGCGGACGAGCCTAGCAAGTCTAGGGATCTTGACGTACGGCGGCTGGGGAAGACTCGGCGGCATGGTTCCGGAGTTTTGGACAGATTTTGAGTGAAGCTGGAAGTTTGGTCTGCAGATTTAGGGAGGATTCTGGAGGCTCGACTCTGGAGGTGCTGGGCAAGGCTTTGGCGAATTGCAACTGGCGTTTTTGGGCTATAGTGCATGAACAGAGTGTCAGGCAGCAGTTCCAATGGGCGTGGTCAGCTGGAACTGTGTAGGTCTCGGCAACCTTGCTACTGTCCAGGTTTTACTTGATCTTGTGCAAACAAAAAGACCCGAAATCCTTTTCCTGATGGAAACAAAATCAAATGCCGTTTATTGTGAGGAAATCCTTAGACAAACCAGCGGGCGTAACTCAACTTGTACCTCAACGGATCCGTAGAGAAATCCGTAAACAAAAAAGACCCGAAAAATCACACCACACCCCTTTGTCCTAAACTTAGGAGCACGGAGGTAACCGGTGGGCGTAGCTCAACTGGTAGCAAGGGAGTGTCACAAGGGTTAGGTCCCGGGTTTGAATCACGGCAACTGCGATGAGGGGTTACTATGCTAAAAATGCATAGGGTCTCTGCAAGTCAAGTACCGAAGACAGAGCCTCACTCTCTATCTATCAGATTGAGATTATAGTTCAATTTACATCCTCCCAACGTACCATCCGGTCGGGGTTGGGGGGCCTCAGGGATGGGGTGTCATCCTTTTTTGTGAGGAAATCCGTAGACAGTTGGGTTTCCATGGTTGTGTGGCAGTAGATAGTGTAGGTCTCAGTGGAGGTCCTTCAAATAGTAGTCATATTGAAATGTCAGATTCGTGTTCCCGAGCATGTAAATGTCACCCTCAATTGTTCAAATTATCGTAAATGTGATCCTTTGAGGGATTGAAATGTATAATGTGAGCGAGGGGTATATTTCACCCCTCAAAGAACCACACTTACGGAAATTTGGACAATTGAGGAGTGACATTTAGTATCTCCGAAATACGGATCTGACATTTAAATATGGTGATTATTTTAGGGACTAAAAGTGCGATTTTCCACAAAAAACATATATAAGGGTATATGTGTTCCCCACACTAATAGTGTAGAGGCATATATGTCCTTTTTCCCTTAAAAAAACAAACAATCGTTTTTGAGATGTTAGAGTAAGTAGCATCTGAGAAAAGGCTATTGCTTTTAGCATTAATTAGTTCCAATAGTTTGTATGACAAACAGAACTAAATCAAAAAGTTATTTTTTATCAAACTACCACCTCAGTGGCGGACCCACTAAGGGTCCCACGGGGTCCCGTGACCCCATGGACCTACAAAAAATAACTATATATATTTGTATATATTTTACATAAAATTAAGTAATCAGTGTATTAATACAATTGAAACTAGTTTAGAACACAAATATGGAGCTAGAGCAACGATTGGATGCCCAATCTTGAGGCTCTATGTGTGCGGGAGGTTGAGGGATCGATTCCTTTGGGAGTCCATTTTTTTGAAAATAAAATTATGGAACAACTTGGAGCACCTATTGTTATCAACCTATACCCAACTTTTAATCTAAATCTAATTTTCTCAACCTATACCCAATTTTTTTCATAACAAATACTATTATAAAGCCATTATGTATCCCCAAATTTGAGCTTATCTGTTTTATAAATTAATTTCATCATGAAACACGTAATTTTTGAATTCACGCACTGAATTTGTAATAATTAAAATATTATGGAACAACTTGGGGCACCTATTGTTATCATGCACCTCTATAGCCCAACTTTTAATCTAAATCTAATTTTCTCAACCTATACCCAATTTTTTTCATAACAAATACTATTATAAAACCAGTATGTATCCCCAAATTTGAGCTTATCTATTTTATAAACTAATTTCATCATGAAACACGTAATTTTTGAATTCACGCACTGAATTTGTAATAATTAAAATAAGCAAGTTAAAATCATTTTTCGGGGAGATGACTGAAGTTACCGTAAGAGCATCATCTTAGTCATTTTTTCATATGACTTTTTTTCATATCTTATAACATACTATCCTCCGTATCACATTATTTACAACATTGGAATACATTATTCATATACTTTACTTTGACTACATTTTATTTATTAATGTATGTGAATTATTTTTGAAAAATATTGTTAAATCCGTCTCATTATTAAGTCTTATAATCTGATTTTTATTTTATTTTTACTAATACAGAATTAAATATAATGACGGTCAAAGTTGTGCGCTGGCAAACGTGAAATGTTGACTGTTGCAACTAAAAAGAGACGGAGGAAGTATAATTTAAATATCATTATTTCCTAATATAGCAGTTTCAGTCGCTTGAGCCATTATCGCATAGTTTGGCTTGATGTGATTTGATCTAAGACTAAAATCAGCCCAACAACAAAGTCCTTAAAGTTACACAAATAAATTGATAATTGTATTAAATTCAAATAGAAACAAAGCTAACGAATATATTTAAATAAAAATCCAAATAAAATAATGCGAAGTAATTAGGACGAAATTTTCAAATGTAGGTTTTTTAAATTTGATTTCTCATATGCATGCCCATTATTTTTAGTTGATAGAGGACATTAACTTTATAAAATTTTAGTGCCCGTTTAGTGACTCTGTTTTCGGCTTATCAGGCTTATCAACCAACTTTTTAACCAAACATGTAACTTTTGATTTTACGCGCTGAATTATGTAATAATAAGAAAAATAAGGTTGAAGTTACTTTTCAGACTGTATTGACTGCACTTGTTGTAGATGACCATTTTATCTATTTTTCATATCATTTCTTCTTTATTTTATTAATATAATATATTTTAAATATAATTTTTCATAATCAGCAGAAACAATCAATACAACCACTTCGGTCAGAACTTCATAAATTTCAGCAGAATCAGCCGATTCAGCCGATTTCAGTGTTACCAAACGGGCTCTAGTTGATAGTAGACATTTCTTTAAAATTGTTGTATACGTTATGTTAACTATGATATGTTATGCTATTTTACTATTTTACTTCTTCTTTTTATTAATTTTTTATTAATTAGTTACATTACAGTAGGGACCCCGTGATTCTGAGTTTCTGGGTCCGCCACTGACCACCTTTTCAATCATTAAAAACTAATAGTTAATAAAAATTTATAAAAGTATCTTTTGAGCTAGTTATTCAACTCTAAAGTGAACCGAGTTACTTGACAGTGGGGACTTGGACTTTGTACGCTTCAAAAATAATAATTTTATATGTTCTACCTGCTTATGATTTCAAACTGATTATTGATGTGGGATGTAGCCATTCATTCCAATTGGAGGTTGCTAAGGATTTAATTAACCCAATGGCTAAATACGTACACTCCGCTCTTACATTTTACGTATTGCCCTTGGCTTAATGACTTACGGAATTATTGGGTAACTCCACATTTCACTTCACCGCTACAGAATTGTTTTTTGTTCCTCTTGTTTTTGCAACAAATATGGAAATAATCAAGTTTACGTACAAAGGTTTCATCTTTGATAACCAAAAGAATGCTTCCTTTTAGCACGATTGAAACTCTTACTTGGTTATATTTTGGGTACACCAAATTCAAATTTTGAGCATAAATGAAACATTTCAATGGTTTTCCCAAGATCACTTTATTTCAATTTTATTTAATTTTAGGAATACTTATTTTAATTTTACCTTTGGAATTATCTATTGACTTTGGAAAGGCGTGTGTTTGAATGGTACGTTTACACGTGTCGAGCCATCAGCTTGCATGCTGCAGCTACGTACGTACACCTGTCATTGCTAGCATTACAAGTGTACGTTGCTTACTTACGTAGTACGGAGTATGTATTATCACACCCGCCCGCCCGCCCGCCCGCCTAATTGCATTCCGCTTGGCCATGCCGTACAACCGAAGACCCCTTTCAGCCCTACGGCCGCCAACCACCGCAGCAGCGGCGGAAGGCGATGAACCTCCACTATCCACCTCCATCTTGTCTCTTCCATCCGACACCCTCTCCGCCTGCTTATGCGCCCTCTCTTCTCCCCTCCTCTCCCTCTTCTCTTTTTCTTCCCACTCCGACGACAGCAGGCAAGTATATATTATATTTTTTCTTCAATTCTTTCTTTTTAAATTACTACATATACCGACCTTAAATAGAATCCTTAATTAAATTACCCTGCACGAATTAATTAATTTTACATTTTCATGATGGCCGACCGGCAGGGCCGTGGAGCCAGGCATGCTCTCAGCCACAAACAGCGCCTCCACACTGGAGGAGGACGCTGGAGGATACGGCGGTCTGTTGCTGAGGAAAATAGGGGTCGGAATACTGGCGGCCGCCTATGTTGGGATGATTCTGATGGTTCTGCTGGTGTTGGCGGCGGTTTTGGGCGTGGTGGTGGTGAGGTGGTGGGTGGAGGAACCTGTGTTGTTGAGGGAGAGAGTGAACTTTGACTACACTGATGCACATCCCAAGGCCACCTTCTCTTTTCACGAGCATTATAAGGGTAGTAACTTCCTTGTCAAACACAAGACTCTCGGTGTGCCCCTTGGCCATACCTTTTATGTTTCTTTGCTTCTGCTAATGCCTGACTCCGATTATAACAGAGAGCTTGGGATCTTCCAGGTAATCATTACTACTCCCTACTTATTCAATCAAACGAAAATAGTTTTTTTAGGCTATCCCTTCATTCTCTATTGTACGAGTAAGTGGGGTTAATAGTTATAGATTTCCCTCAAAGGAAAGTAGAGGAAAAAATAAGCATGTTTTGAATTGGGTCCAAATTTTCTTATGTCACTCCCTGGCTGGCTTTAGGTTAAATCAGTCCAACTAAAAAGTTATTCAAGTCTAATCTTATGCCCCCACAGTGCGCCCATGTTTACAGACTATTTGTTTCATCTTACAGCTTATTATAAGCTTTAAATAAGCCTTCATCTTCACTTCAATAAGATGCTTACAATACCCTCTTATTTCAATAGTCATCCGGCTTTGGCTTCTTAGCTTTTTATGTTCCTGAATTGGGAGTGTTCTTTTATATACTAAATCAGCCACTCAAACACTAGTTATTCACCAAACACCATTTACAACATTCACCATGTACAATCAATTCTGGTTGTTGAAATTCATAATCAACTATAGGGAAATTTAGAAACAGATGGAGTAGGGAAATAGTTTTGGTGTTTGAATACTGGCAATGAATAGGTGAATGCAGAACTGGTATCCAATGGTAGTGGTGTGAGGACAAGCAGATCAAGCCATCCATGCATGTTGCAATTCAGAAGCCGACCAATCCGGCTCATGAGAGAACTGATTTGGGGTGTGCCCCTCCTCTTAGGAATAACGACCGAAACCCAAAAGTTAGTTATCCCCATCATAAGGCACAAGGAGACCCATCCAAGAACCGAGGCCATCCACCTGACCCTTATGCCACGTTCCGGCACCCAAGAGCTCCCACACATATACGGAGCTGAGATCATCCTCAAATCTCATCTCCCTTGGATGAAAGAGGTGTTGCATAGATGGAAATGGACATTCTACATGTGGGCGACATTGTACATTTACATTGCTCTCCTCACAGTTTCCCTGTGTTGCTTCAGACCACTCATCATCCCATTCCTGAGTGCAAGGCACATTATGCAGTACCCCGAGGAAGAAAGCTTGATGATGTTGCAAGCCTCCGAAGAAAGGGAGGAGAGAGGCCTGTTCGAGACATTGAAGAGGCGCAGGATGAGTAGGAATAGAAGGAAGGCGACGGTCGAGCAAAAAACTGTGGTGGAGCCTCCACCAGTGGTGGTGGTGGTGGACTCTTCTGCTACAAGTTATACGATGAGCGGAGATGATGCAGACCCACCTCATGAAGAGACCGAGGATTCAGAATCTATTTGCTTCGGAAGTGGAGTTGAGGAATAACTCAATGGCATCATATAGTATATGTATAATCTCACAAACAAACACTCGTTTTTATATCATTTTTTTTTAATTTCATGTATAGTGAGTGCATAAGTTACATTAAGTTATTAACTCATAAACCGAAGCTGCTATCACAATTCACAAGCCTCTCTCTGTGTATGAACTCCAACCTGCCTTTATTTAAGTCTATTTAAGTTGCTTCTGGAGTGGTTTTTTTTTTTTGAGAAAATTGTGATCATGTTTATTCATGAACTAAATTTCAAACTTAAAATTCGATTACAAAGTCGACTGCACTGTTACTCGATGACTGAACATTTTGTACATGTGAGTGTTTTCACACAAAATTTTATAAGAAAAGTTCAAACCTAAACAGGAACACCCCTCACACTTCGTATATTTGCCATTCAAAAGAACAAAAAGAACCCACAATAGTCTACAAATACAAATGAAAACTTGAAAGAAAAGTACAGTTGAAAAACACTCATTGAGATAATAAGCCGAGTATTTATCAATTATTAAAATCACACAAATGCAGTAGAGCGACAGGCCAAAAAATTCAAGAGGCGGGGTTCAACAACAGAAGCACAGAAAAAACGTCCTTTAGGTCAACATGTGTATGGTTTTCAAAAAAAGTCGAGAGGCAGGGTTCAACAACAGCACAGACAAAACGTCCTTTAGGTCAACTTGTGTATGGTTTTCATATCAGCAGCTTCCATGAGGGAGCCTTTCTCAACATGATCCCACCATTTGAATAAGAAATTATGGACAACCAGTCTGAACCAAGGAGATAGCTTTATACCGTCCTCTCCTGCATCTGCTTTACTTAATATTTCTTTCAGCTCTTCTCTATTCACATATTTAACATCAGCAACCTCATCTGGGTTCGGGTGCAGCCGGACATCCCGCACGATGAAGAGAAGATAATCAACTGCAGATAAGCAGATTCAGTGTTGGATCTGTTTCTATGTTTTCTTTGTGTTTTAAAAGTAAGTTGTATAAGACTCCATTAAATTTACAATTTGAACCTGCTTTAGCTAGAGATATTCGTCAACTGTTGTGGTAAGTGAAGATAATTTATCATAAAAAAGAGAAGAGCCAGAGATTTGTCTTTGTCCCTATGAAAGCTTTCCACACTATAAGGTAGGACTACAATATATAACTGCTTAACCTGTAGGATCCCTTTCCCTTACCCCATCAAAAAAACTCAATGGGCATATAAGGAGGCCTGCAAACATTCCTTTCACCCATGTTACCCCTACGATCTTATTTTAGAGTTATGTTAGAGGTACATACGCTCTTACACAATCTTACAAAAGAGGTATGTGGCGGCATCACATTTTTGATACATCACATCACTTTTATATCAAAGGTCATTAGAATAGCCACTATCATCTATTTGTAAATTTTTTATAAGTTTCTTTGTACTTGTAACGTTTTCCTGTATTTTAAGCATTTAAATGAGGGTCACTTCCAATCTTCTTCCTGAAGTGCTCACTCTCCTTTCCAGCATGAGTGGCGCAACAAAACCTCCCAGAATTGAGCTAATTTTATCACTAGTCGCAATACTCATCAGTACCTTGGCTTTTTTTGCTCTACTGTATCCTAGGAGTAGTATTCGTCTTCTATTTTTCAAAAATATTTTAATGCCCAGGTCGAACATATGTGCTCATCACCATTGCTTTCCTAGGACTACTAAGGATTTATAGCATAACCTGTTTTTTATTCAATATTCTCTCCTCCACTTTTTAACCTTCCCATTTTTGCGGTATAGTACATCCCTACATTCCAAAATGATCTTTTTGCCTTCTAGATGAAAGACTTACGAAATTGATATTGATTATTTCCTCTTTAATAAATGTGAAGCATACAATTTTGTTTTCTAAACCTCGGTTTGATGTTAAATATAGGAGAAGTTTTTTAAAATTGTCAGCATGGGCAGCACTAGAAAAGTAATGCAAAACATCATCCATTGAATGCCCTAGTTCCCATCCTCTTTAGAAAGAAGTATGCGATGAAATTTCAAAAACATTGAAAGTTCTGTACCCGCTACACGAAAAATATTGTGAAATACTACCTCCATTCTCTTTAAATTGCAACATTGGACTTTTTGCACTATTGACATATTCTACTTTGACTATTTTATTAATTAAAGTAATACAAATTAAATTTTTAAAAAATATTGTTAAATTATTCTCATTCTAAATTTTCAAAATATGAATTTTTTAATTTTTTTACTAATAGGAAATGAAAGATATTAATGGTCAAACTTGTGCATTGGCAAACGTGAAATGTTGACTTTTGCAATTAAAAGGAAATGAAGGAAGTATAAAATTGTGTAAAACTTGTGCATGGCATTATGACACAGATCTAAAAAGGTTAACAAAAATACGGAAAGGATGATTTAGGGTCAGTTGGATTAAAGATATATTAATATATAAAAGCAAAAGATTTTCAAGGAATAGTGTTCCCTCTCAAAAACATCAACATCAATGAGTCATTGGGTTATTTATCTAGCTTTATTCCTATTGGTGGATTTGGGTGGTGGGAATAGTGATTGAGATTTAATGTATCTCATTCCCACTATTTCAAGATATTTTTTGTTGAGAGCTTCATAAAAAATAGATCATGGGTGCGGGCCATACCCAGTGTATGCCTATTTACATTCAGCTATAAAAGAAGATTCAATAACACATTTCTCTCATTCACTTGATCATCAAGCTCACAAAACAAAAAAAAAAGTCAATATACTCCCTCCGTTTCTGAAACAAGTTCCACCTTTCCTTTTCGGGTAGTTCCAAAAAAAAGTTCCACTTTATATATTTGGAAAGTTTTTCCAATCCATTTACTATTTTACCCCCATATCCCTTTTCCATATTTTCCCCATTTACCACTCCCTATTTTCTACCCCCTACGCACCTCACCTCCATCTCTCCTTTGTCAGCGTCTCTCTCCCCCTTCTGCAACCCTTCATTCCCCCGCCTCCACCCTCCTCCGTCCCCACCGTTCCTAAACCCCTTCCGTCGTTACCACCTGCAGCTCCCCCTACGCTACCCCTCAAAACTCCTTCCATCGCAACCCCTCTCTGAAACCCTTCTTCTCTGAAACCCATCTATCGCTAAATCTGAAACCCACCGGCATCTACCACTTCCTCGGTGCATGGATCCATCTCACCCGAAATCATCTCCACCTTTACATGGACTTGACAAACCCTCATCTCCAAAGCCAGATCCGTAAGTTTCGTCCCCTATTTCAGAATTTTGTGTTGTGCGGTTTGGAAGTCAGGATTCGTCTGAATCTGATCCCGACTGGTGGATCCGGAAGAGAAGAGGTCAATTCGGGAGTGGTGATGGATGGACTGTCAGACAAGGAAGAGGAAGGCAGCGTGGGGCTTCATGCAGAGGATGGCAGCGACGGCGAGGAAGAAGAGGAAGGCAGGAAGGGGCTAGATTCATACGACAAGAATGAAGGAAAAGGGTAGTACTCATCTTAAACCCTTTTTCATTTTAGTGCACCGATTTTGTGTGATGTATGTGTTGCCCGTATATGTGTTGTAATGTGAAATGTGATGCCAATGCATATGTGTAGTAACCTGAAATGTGTGGTGATGATATGGTGAACCCCATTTCGAACTGATGATGATAGGGGCCTTATTGTGTTGCTTTATGGTAGATTCCAATCTTGCATTTGACTTGCATACATTACCAAAAATCACCATTTTCTTACATTTGGGCAAAAATTAAACCGGTGTACACTATGTTGGTCAATACATACTGCATTGTATTTTCTGCCAACTACTATGTGCTTACAAAAAAGTGCACTACTTAAGTACTACCAAAAATATGTGCACTATGACAAAAACTTAACTGAATTCAATGCAATCCGATAGTTCAAGTGTGAAGATGTGGTACATCTTCAAACATGAACTCATGTCTGTCCATTGCTGCCTATCTTGTGGTAGTTGCCACATGTGCCATTGCTGTCTCATATAGTTCTTGAGGGATTTGCACATTGTTTGGTAGCTGCCCCTGCCTGTGTAATCTGTCCTTACCCATGTGCTTCAATTTGAAATTGTTTCCACCATTCTGTGTAATCACCTGTTCCATTACACATTGATAGCTTAAGAATACCTTGTTGAGTGTTGTTGGTGTCAGCTCATTATATGATGTTGTCACTGCATGTATTAAGTCAGTGATGGTTTTTGGAGCTTTCTGATCTTTAATGGCATCTATTGCCCTGAAAAATCCCAAGTCCAAGACATTAAGGTTTGGACTATTAGGTGGTTGACATGTCAATTGGATATTCCATCCTTCCTTAGTCCCTTCTCTCACAAAATCAGGATCATTAATGTCAATATGAGGCCTTGCATTGTCCTGTTGAATAATAACTCTCTTGTTATCTGCATCTGGCCATGTCTGTTTTATTGCTGGCAATAGTTCATTCAGTATCATCTCTTTGATGACTAAACGTGTAATACTTACTGATGTCTTCGTCTCTAGTGTTCCTGCTGGTCTGTTTTTACTGCTTCTTTTGGTTGTGTCTTCATAAGTGAAAGGAAAGATCCTCACTTTCCCATCCCACAATACTTCCCCATTGTCCCTCAGTCTTGGTCTCCCCACAGCTGCTAAGAACATGATTTTTGGTATGAATTTTTTTGACTGAGCAGTCCTGTAGGGGTCCTCTTCGGTGGGAGTGGTGTAGAAAGTGGTGGTTTCTTTGGAAAAATAAAACCACTTCTCATCTATGTGTGTGGTATCATAGAAGTCATGAAATGTAGGGGTAGAGGGCAGTGAGATAGGAGTAATGTGTTTCAAGCAAAAGTGTAATCTCTTTAGCTTTCCCAAATCACTTAATAGGGGTCTGATTGCATTGGAGTGCCTTTTCAGTTGTTTCCTTTTAACCCACCTATGTACTGTGGTCTGTGACACACCCATGGCAAAGGCCAAAGCCCTCATGTTTTTTCTTTGGTGATATGGAATGTCTGCCACTTTTTGCAAGTCAAGTGTATATGGTTTTCTCCCAACATGTCCCTTCTGCTTGCTCTGCACATTAATTGCTAGGTTTAACTGCAATTCTTGTTTTGATTTGCGCCACAGTTTTTGGATTGTCTTTGTTGATACATTGAATTCCAAAGCTGTTTTCTTGGTAAGGCCCCTCTGAAGTTTAAGACCCTGTGAATTGCTTAACATAATTTGCACAATTCTTTTTCTTTGGTCATCGGTAAGTTTGGGACATTTTCTGCGCATACCTTGTTGTTGAGATGATTCCCCTCCCTGTTGTATTTCTGTGGCTGCAGGTAAAATGCAGGTAAAATGACAAGAGGAGTACCTTCAGTTGGAGGTGGCAGGTTGACATCAAAGCTGCCATTTTCTTCTGCACCAGTTTGGTCGTGTGAGTTGTCCATGTGTTGAAGGGGTAGATGAAACTCATAAAGGCTGAAGAAGAAGCTTTTATGATGTCTATTTATAGAAAGTGTGTGTGAACTTTGTAATTGGGAGGGAAAATTAAAATTTGGGAGGGAAATTTGGATTGTATGGCCGAAATACATGTATGGTGTTTAGAAATGGGATTAGACTTGTAATGATTTCTTTTTTGGAATAGATGTTATTTACCCCCCTTCCACTATTCATTCCCCCTTTTTCTTCTTTCATATGGCCGTGTATCTCATTAAGGGCAAAAGTGGAAAGTCAACAAATAATTTACTCTTCTCTTAAATCCAAAGAAGTCAAATGTGGAACTTCTTCAAGAATCGGAGGGAGTATATACATACAACTTCAATATGGTTGGTACGAGGTCTATCATTCATGAGATTGATGCAGGACCACCTGGGCATGAAGGCAAGGGCGACAAGAGTACGTGTATCGGGATCCTGCACATCAAGGATAGAGTTTAATGGTTTATGTGGTTGGGTTATAATTCTCCAGTTTGAGTGGTTTGGTCAGAGTAATTAATGAATCCCGATATTTAAGTCTAGGTCGGTGGGGTGGTTTAATGGGGCCATGAGGGTCGGACGCATCACGTGTGACTGGTGGATTAACATTGATGCCACGGGACATATATTTGCAAAAAAAATATTAATTGTTTTTTACATATATTTGCAAGCAAGTATAGAGTATAGAATTGAAAAAATCCAAAAGTCAATATTTTCTACATTAATTCTTTTCAAATTATTTTAAAACCACACAATTAATGTTCTTTTAAAAAGTTGAAATTCGAGAAAAATGCATGCATAGTAATTTGTTTCTGTGTGCATTTTTAACAAAAAAAATGGCATACATTTCATATGTTGTTCAAATCCAAGTAATATTATTTAAAAATATTTTTTTTAGAAAAAGATTTTAAAAAATCCTCACATCGAATGTAATTTGACATGCAGATACTTTATTTTTAAAATTTTCAAAATTGAAGTAACTATTATTATTAAATGTATATACGTAGATCTATTACAGAAATATTGAGCGTGATTGTGTCTTATTAATTTTTTCAAATAATATTTTCAAAAACATATTATGTTTTTTTGTATATGAAATCATTTTGCCAAAAAAAGTATATGATATAACGCTATGTATAATCAAATATCATTTTCATAAAATATCTTTAAGTATTATGGTAGTAATAAAAGCAAATCTGCTAGATCTGTGGGTTATGAGTATGCTAATTTGTACAGAAGTCCGATTTGATGCTTTTAAGATAAAGGTTTAATAAGTGAGATGATTATGTGTAGTAGAGGGCCTAGTTAGCTTTTTTGCGTTTAAAACGCGTTTTAAACACATACCATTTTTTTGAACAAAAAAACGCGTTTAAAATGGAAAAAAAAATGTCGGCCCGTTTAAAAAGGAAAAAAACTTCCACTTGCTGTATAAAACGTATATTTCCCGTATTTTACAAATAATAAAAACATCATTTGATCAATTGAATGAATACATCAAATGAATAGGAGATCAACAATAGTTTAAAAGCAAAAAAGAAAACCTCATCCCCGTGACCCCGTGTTTTTGTATTGTTACAATACAAAATATACAATTGTTAAATACTAAAATTAATTGCATAATGATTAAAGCTAGCATCGTGAAGAACTAAAATCTAAAATACTACTATGTATTAGATTTGTGATGTTCTTTTCCAAACAAGCATATCAAAATTAAGGTTTTTCTAAACCTGATATTTTTTAGTATAAACGTTTACACATAAACAATAATAAGAGTAGCAGTCGCACAACTTTCTCATGTGATCCGTCATCTATGTGAAAATGATGAGTTTAACTTGAGTGTTATTTGATTATCATATAAAGATGATGATGATGTTAACTTGGCCTCATTTTATCGTTATTATGCCTTATTTTCTGACATTTCTTTGCAAAAGTATGTCTTGGACTTAATTACTCCGTACTATTTTTACTTTTGTCATCGACTTATGCTATTACGAATTATATTCTTTTATGTAGTAATGTGATTTATTACTTCAATATGTGTAAACTCTTATTTCCTTTTATTATATATTATTTTATGAAGTATATAATTTTAATGTTATTTTGGACTTGATCATTATTTCTTTTTTTGTCATGAACTTATGCTATTATCAATGCATTTTTTGATGGAGTAATGAGATATTATATTTGAATGTGTGTGTATGTTGATTATCTTTCATGTACTATATGTTTTTTATGCTCTAAAAACTAGTATAATAGTTTAGTCATTCAAAATAAGACCCGTATTTTTAACCCAAATTTTTCTAAGAGATGTCGTATTATACACGTATACGTATTTACACGTTTTATAAAAGTCAACGTATTTTTTGCCAAATGTTTGACCGTATTTGTTTTCCAAATTACCGAATAAAACCCGTATGTATTAAACCACGTTTAATTCTCGTACCGTATTTAACTAACTATGGTAGAGGGAGTGTGTTCTTACCGTTTAATAAGTCTAAGCGGAGGATGAGGCGGATGAGGCATACGAGACGGAGGAGGCTTATAAGAGCTTGATTCATGACTGGCTCCTGAAATGTTGGCGGAGAATCGGTAGAAAGGGGGGATGAGTGACTGACTTTTGACCGACCGTTGGTTGAAGAAGTGTTTGGAGTGAAATATTGTTGAGCTTGGTTGGAGAGAGGTTGGGGTCAACTGTCTTTTGCTTGGAGGAAATGAAGGGTTGAAGAAGTGTTTTGGGTGGAATGTTGGTGGGGCTGATTGAAGAGGGGTGGCCGAAGAGGAAAACAATTTTGTTCACCCCATCTTTTGAGGGTGAACATCACCCTCACCCTATTGGGCTGCCACATGTTTAAACTATATGACAATTGTTTAAACTTTTTCAATTATTATAAATTTTTCATTTTTGATTCTATTTTTTCAAAAATTATATCAATATTTTTTATTTTTTATATCAATATTTTTTATTTTTTATGATCTTTCATATGATACAAATATTGAATATGTAAAATTTAAAAAAAATCCGGCCAAAAATAGATTTAAGCAAAAAAAAGATTGTTTTTCAATTTTTTATATGAAATAAGGATAACAATGGGAAGATAATAAAAAATTATTAAATCTGATATATTTTTTGTGAAAGGAAAAATACACACCGGAGTTCTTGAATAGTACTACCTCCGTCCCGAAAAGGTTTGCCAGATTGACTTTTCTTGGTCAATGATAACAAACTTTGGACAATGATTTTAATTATTATATTTGTATATAATTTATAAATTTTATACTTTTATGAAAATATTTTGAATAAGGAACAATTTGATATAATTTTCATATTCAAAATAATTTCGTATTAAAAAATATTATTGGTCAAAGTTGATTGTCATTGACCAAGAAAAGTCAATTTGGCAAACCTTTTCGGGACGGAGGGAGTATAAAATTATCCGATGTACCGAATCATGAGTTAACGTTAAAGGTAAGGACTCCGGTGATGCTTTTGCAAAATATTGATCATTCATTGGGGTTGTGTAACGGGACTCGACTTATTCTAACGAGGCTCGGTGATCATGTTTTGGAGGTGAAGATTTTAACAGGTGTGAGTGCTGGACAAAAAGTATTAATTCCTAGATTTTCCATGACCTCATCCGATGCCAGCTTGTCTTTCAAATTTCAGAGGCGACAATATCCTCTTATGACTTTACATGTTATGACTATAAATAAAATTCAATGTCAATCTTTGTCCTGTGTTGGGTTGTTGTTGAAAAATCTGTATTCACCCCGAGGTGGCAAAATCTCGGTATCAAGGGTGACCAATTGTTCTGGTTTAAAAATTAGAATTTTTTTAGAAGATGAAGGAACCACTGACAAGACTCAGAATGTTGTATTGAAGAAGTATTCAACAATGTTTAAGAACAATGGTTAGGGTTACATGAAATGCATATTTACAATGTTATGATTTCTACGTATTTATTGGTTGTTTATTACCTTTTAAATAATGCTTAGTGCTCTCTTTTTAACCATAATATTATAAGTGTATTTCGTTTATTGCTTTGATTTATATCAGTATTCCATGGAGATAGATGTGGTCATGAATTGATAGTGTGATTTGAATTAGTGTAAACAAAAAATTGAAACAAAATTTTCCAACCGTGCATCGCACGGGTGAGTTTACTAGTTTTGGTAAAGGGAAAACTTTGGAGAGCTTATTAGTTTGTATCTGGAAAAATAATCCGTATGATGTTTTCCGAAAACAAATGAAGGGTGATTAAAGAGTTATGTGTTGGATAAGTACATAACAAAACAAGATTTGGAGAGAGAGAGAGAGAGAGAGAAGGCCCCTTACGTTCATGCTCTCCCCACTTCCCGTCAGAAGGTGCTTTATAAAGGATCCTAGCCAATGGTGTGAACTGATCAACTGGGACATCCTTTGCAGGGATCCCCAACTCATCAAGAAGTTTCCTTTGTGCTGCATTCCTCGCCCCTAAAATTTTAAGAGTATAATAAGAATTAGTTTCAGTGGATTACTAAAACGGGTGATCCATTTATGTGCTAAGGAGTGGTTTGGAAAGACGTAATGAAGTATAATGCAATGTGATCAAATCAAATGTATACACTAAAAATGTATTTGATTATGTTACAATTTACATTGCATTGCATTACGATTTACCAAACTTCACCTAAGAGAAATATATACCAATAGCATTTTGCTCAATAAGCTCAGACTCTCGGTAGAGAGGATGACTGCAGCAGGTGTTAGTCCACACCAAAGGGAAGGTGACCTTTGTCGCAGACCTTTGCTGCAATAACCAAAGAACTATACAATATAATCATGGTAGATCATATGAGCCATTAACTGATTCTATAACTTGTGAGAATAGTAAGAGCCCTTTGGAAATTGCTTCTGCGGCACTTCAGCAGTATTTTTTACTAAACAGGCAGACAGTGAACACCAATTTTTTTGAATGTGTGCGCTGAGTCCATTAATAATGAAAAGGGTAGGGCTTAAGGAGCTTTTTTCTGAAGTTAATAGAGATTACACTTTTTGCATATATACAGTAAAAAGTTCATATATGAATGACATCGATATGAACAACAACTTCAGCAATTTTGGCCTAAACCCACATTTAGCAAACAGGCTCTATGATTAAAATATGTTTTTCAAGACCAGATGGCATTGCATTTTTCATAAAAGAAGTTGTAAGATTTTTGTAAAACAAAATGGGACGTTGAGCATGCTAAAACAAGATGTTTGATGTCTACACAAACAAGGTCATCCGGCCCTCAACCATACTGAAACAGGTTCTTTTACTTGATATCTATTACGTAAGAAACATGGACACTGTTTCCAAGACATACCTGAAGAAGCAATTCATATTTTGAGTTAAATAAGAAAACACTGAAGGCTCTGTGAAGCAAATTCTCGGATTCAATCTTCTCCATAAGATGACCTGCATATTGATCACATGGAGTTAAACTTTTATTGTCAAATTCTTCAATAAAGAAAAATGAAGGGGTGTTGACACACTAGCAAACAGGGGCGCTAAATTTAGATTTACTCCTTGAATCAGAACCCCAACCATTTGAAGTTTTGAACCATGTGCGAAGTGGGAACAATGGTGATCAGATGTTCAAATGAGCTAAAAGGAGTGTTTGGCCTTCAACAGAAGCGGGTTGATTCACAAAGGAGCAAGATCTTAAAAGGGAAAATTGCCATAATTACACCATTAATGATTATGATTGCGAAACTTACGAGTAAAATCCAAAATTTCACACTTGTCGGGTGTTAATCCATAAACATATTGGAAAACGAATAGTCAGTCCATAATTCCACACTTTATTAGGACAAGAAATGTAGCTACAAGTACCTCTTTATATGTGCATAGAGTTTAAGGAACTTACAATTGTACTTGGTATCATGACCAACGACACTATCATTTTCATCTACCAAAATACACCTTCAGAAAAAGAAAGAAAGTGTGACTTCAAAATGATGGTAGGGAAATGATCATACACACTGTAAAAATGTGCAGGCTGTGTTTAGATATTGACTTAAAAAGAAAAGGGATTCATGAAAACTCAGAGAGTTTGGTATAGGGAACATATTGTAAATTGGATAACCGTGCACTGAGAGATGTGTGCATATATTGAAGCAAAAACGACGCTTTGAAACAAATACTACGTATTAAATTGAATATTAGAAGATAAATGAAGACTGTTTACTCGTCGTCAAACATGAGACGGCGTTGGACAGCGTCCATGTTGGCATCGGCGACGGGGTCACCCATGGCGGTGGTGGAGGCGTCGCGGCGTACGGAAGGTGCGGAAGATCCGGAGCGAAGATACACAGGTTTAATTGAAAGACAATCATGGGAGGGGAGCGAAAAGAGCTGAGGATTGTAAGCTTTTATGACCGGGCGGGTGACGACGGGAGAGAGCATCCGCCCCATTTGAAAAGTTGCCGTCAACGACATTTGGCCAAGGCCTTCTCTCTCGTGAAATCGTAGCTGAGGGGATATTAGTTTTGAAGGGTATAATTTGAGCTTGCATCCCGTTTTATTGTGAAAATTAGATTTTTCACCTCGTTTTTTAAAAAACTTTGTTTTGCACCCCAACTTCATATGCTCCTCCATTGACAGTTTTGTTTGCCTTCAACATATTCTTTTTCGTCTTTTCATATGAGGTTAGGGTGCAAAAACAAAGATTGTTAAAAACAGGGTGCAAAGTCCAATTTGAACAATAAGATGGGGTGCAAACTCAAATTACCTCTGTAATATATATATACCACAAATTTTATACAAAAAATTATGTTAGCAACATGATCATATTTTTTTCACAAATGTAATTTTATGATGTTAAGTACGTAATTTAAAATGCAGAAAACATTTATGAGGATATATGCAATTAAAATTAAATTGTACCAGATGTAATATTATTTATTTCACAAATGAATTTTAGAATGTTAATTGCATTCTAACAAAGCTTAAGAGTATTTTAAATTATGTAATTATTCCGATAAATTTATATTTGTAAAAAAACATACAATCATGGTGAAAAATTACTTTTTATATAATGTTCGGAATATATATATTACATATGCAAGTTTGGAGTACATATTTCACACCTCATTAAAGTTTCGAGTATTTAAATTATTTTCTCCCAATTTTTTATCTTAAATGGCTTATACGGAGTATGGGGTGTTTGGTTAATGGCCTATTAGCCATTTTTTGGCTGCTTTGACCAATATTAGCCTTTTGATTAGATCAATCAGCCAATATGTGTGTTTGGTAAAGTAGCTTTTTTAATTTGGCCTTTTATCCCAAACAACCAAAATAGAAAATGCCAATAGAAAACAACTATCATAAAACAGCTGACAGAATCGAGCACGGCCAACGGATAACAGCCCATTGCCAAACACGGCCTATATATATATATATATATATATATATATATATATATATATATATATATATATATATATATATATATATATATATATATCACGTACCACTCCGATCCGTAATACTACCTCCGTCCCGCTATGATTGTCCCGTTTTACCTTATCGGTCTGTCCCACTAAAATTGTCCCATACCAAATTTGGCAAAGTTGTGTGGCTCTAAATCATTCTTACTTTATTCTTACTTTATCAATTCAATATCAACCACATAAATCACTTTTTATTGATTTGCGTGCCGCTCTCTCTTGTCTCATTGTTAGTGGGACGGAAGGAGTAATTAATACTTCGTATATGAGGCAAAAAAGAGCATGGCTAGTCCAACCCTTTGGACCAGACTTTGAGTTCATTATTCATACACGACCATTATGTCTTGTTAATCCCCCCTTACGGGCATACGGCACATGCAAGACAATCCCGAATTCTCGCCACCATTTAGCATAAAACAAAAAATAAACTCAAACGTAATTACTAAAAGTAGTTAAAGAATAGAAAGAACAGAGAATGAAAGAAATACGATAGTACTCCGTATTAGTTATAGGGTTTTGAAGGACAAAAAAATAACCATATTTTACCTGGACAGACAAAAATGTGAGTTAATATATATATCCTAATTAAATCACTTACGGCACTCCAACTGCTTCTCCCCACAAGGCCATCTACCGAACCTGCTCTGTCCTTCCTCTCTGTCGACTCTTCTCTCCATCTAACCACCAGCTCACGCGACATCGACGCCGACCTCCAATGAAGACGACAACGAGAACCACTGCGACGCCACTGAGACGAGGCGGTGACGGCTAGCGACGCCGACTAGCTTCATCTTCTTCTTCGATGCTCCTCTTCGCCGTCGCTGGTCACTGGCTTCATCCCTATCATCCTGACGATGCTGATTGACGGCAATTTCATATCTGTGGCGGCGGTTTGAGGCCGAGGATGTGAGGGTCAGTTTGGTGGCTATTGGGCTAGGGCGAGTCGTGGAACTACTAGGGGGAAGGGGCGAAGCAGTACGCTTGTTGGGGCAAGGATGTCGCTGGAGAGCGCCATGGTAGGCGCTGGGCGGGTTAGGGTGTGGTGGGGGTCGCCCTCACCGTGGTTTTCTCCGTCATCGTAGCCTTGACACTTGGCTTCGCCCTCCTCGCTTCTTTTTCTTGTCTCGATGATGCTTCGACGATTGGGGAGTGGTGGGGTAGTGGTGGTGTGGGGTTTGGGGTTGCAGGGGCTGGAGCTAGGGAGATGCGATTGGGGCGCGGGAGATAGGGCGGAGCAGCAGGGGAGAAGCGACTGGGGGCAGTAAGATGGGGATGGGGCGGAATGGAGCAGTAGGTTGTGTACGTACGGGAATGCCGTAGTGGCAGTGGGATAGCTGAAAAAAAAGGTTGAAATTTTCAGATTTGGTTGAAATTTGCATTTTGTCGAAAAAAAGTTTGACAGTGACATAAAAAGTAAAAGTGACGTCATGTTTTTTAAAAAATGTGACTTTAGTAACATTTTTGTCCTTTTGTAAAAGTGGTCACATTTTTGGAATTTAGCTTCAATGTAGTAATATTCAAGAAAAAAGCCCTGGAAAGAATGGAAGAAATATTACTCTCAAACTTTCATTGGACAAAAATATGATCAATTTTTTTTATCAAAATGTGATTGAGACCTTGTCGTCACCGACTTCTTCTTCTTTTCATTTTTTTCTTCACCCGCCTTGGCTATCTTCTCTGTCGTCCTAGATGGCCTTCGGTGCTGGATCCGCCGCATTGATTGACGACAACTCCGATTTTGGGCCGCCGGTGCTGGATCCGCTGCCTCGATTGATGATGACTCTGATTTAGGGCCGCCGGTGTCGGATATGTCGTCTTTGATGGATGACGGTTGTGCTTTTGGGCCGTTTGTATCGGATCTGCCATCTCGATGGACGACGACTCTGTTTGGGCCTGTCGGTGTTGGTGGGGTGTGACGAGAGTTCCATGGTGGTAGGGTGGCTGTATGGCTAAGCTTTTGGCGAACTGGTCAGAGAAAGACCTGGGGGACGAGGGGGCGGGGCAAGGGAGCATGGGAGCGGGAGAGGTGCTGGGGGCTGTCGAGCTGGTGCGTGGGGCTAGGGGTAGGTCAAGGGCGGTGATGGGTCATCGGGGCAGTGGGTTGGGGTCTAGGTTGGGAGGGGGGTTGGGTGAGCTAGGGAGGGTGCTTGTGAGTTGGGGAGGGGGTCGGTAGGCTGGGGAGGGGGCTGGTGGGATGGGGGGGCTAGTAGGCTAGGGAGCAGGGTTGGCTTATGGTGGGATGGGCTGGTGGGCTGGGGAGGGTCTGGTGTGGTCACGGTTAGGGCGGTGGCTGTCATCGGTGACAGTTGTCGGGTGTGCGGGGGTTGGATGTGGACGTCGGGGTGTCGGCTGATCAACCGCGGTGTTGGAGGCAACAATTTCATTGAGCGCAGACAGTCAGAGTGACATGTTTTCCGGTGACACTGACATCCGTAAGGGACATTAAAATTTTGTTGTGACAAATCATAGTAACACAAAAAAAACACAGTGAAATGAAAAATGTGACTGGCGGGGGCGCTGATTGTGGTGTACAGTGATGCCAGAAAAGGTTATCGGAAAATTTTCTGGCGGTTATAGTGGCATTCAAAAATGACATAAATATGTAATAGTGACATATAATAGTAACATAAATATCTCACAATGACATAATTTTCTTAGTCACATTTTTGTCCCTTTATAAAATGGTCACGAAAATATGTCCCTCAATAAAAAAGCCCTAAAGAATGTCCTTTAAAAAAAGTAATTAAAGAATGCATTTGTGTCCCTCAATATGACCAAAATATAGTGATGGAGTATTAACTCATAGAGAGAAGTGAGAGCTAGAGAGACAAGTGTTATAAATACTGATATTAATGATTTGTGAACCCCCTACAACTATTCCCAAGGGGAGTATTTATAGAGGAAATTAGGGTTGCTCCCAAGTCTTGGACTTGGGGCCACAAGTCTTGGACTTGGGAGGCTCATTTACAATTGGGCCACTATTGGGCTGAGTACAAAATATGTAGAAGTGACTAAGTGCGAAATCCGATTCTGGGAGCCCTTTGTGGCCGACGGGGCCATGGCCGACGAAGACCTGGCCGACGGGGACACCCGGTTCTCCTGGCTTCTGGACTATGTTCTGAGTTGATATCTTTCTGTCCCACTGGATGACAATTGTGCCCTTTATTCTTCTGAGTATGTGGGTCCTGGGATCCAGGCCCATATGCTCCATCATATGGTATGTTTCCAAAAAAAGGACCTAGTTTAAAATGATATAATAGGACTTTATTTGTGATTGAATCAAATACCTTCATAGAGTTGGAACTGTTGCCCCCGGGTTACCTAGGTCGTTGGCCCCACCCCCTGCCTGTTGTCAGAAAATTCTTCGAGAATTCCTTCATTGAGCAACTAGAATTCCGCCGTTGTCGTCATTGCTATTGTCCATTGTTTTCGGAGTTCTGTGGTGCTGCCGGAATCTGCCGCCGCTGTCGGAATTTGTAGTCGCCACCACAAGCCGATCTGCCACCAAAAGACTGGTCTCGATTATGTAAGGGAAGTATTGATGGAATTAATTAGGTTAATAATTAATTAAATTAGGGTAGAAATGAAATGATTATTTGTATTTAAGAAAAAATAAATATATGATCCTATTTTTGGAAGAATGTTACTTCATCCGTTCCAAAAAATACTTTCTGCATTAACTTGGCACGCTTATTAAGAAAGTGAAAATAAAGTGGAAAAGTATGATTGTTTTAAGTTAGAAAAGGTAAATGAATGTTAGCCATATAAAACTTTCCAAAAGGGGATATGAGAAGATTTTTTGTGACATCCCAAATGGTAAGTGAGAAGAATTTTCTAAGACGGAGGGGGTATATTTTAATCGTATCAAAAGTAATTTCTCTAGATTTACTCATTGGTTACACCATGGGTTACACCCTCTTTAATGGTAAGTGAGAAGAATTTTGTGAAAAGAATTATTTGGTGTACACCATGGGTTACGCCCTTTTTATTTGCCCTTCACACAGACAAAAAGGTACAAATACATACGTTTGTGGGAAAAAAATTAAATGTGAACAAAAA